CCCCTCGTTCCTGGCTGTTGCTTTATCATTTTTCTTCGTCTGCCTCCCCCGTCGCCTTCTTCATCCTTCATCCTTCGCTATTGCCATATCTCTCGCTTTATTTTTGGCCAAGCTTAGTTTTTTGGGTTCGAAGGCGACTTGCACTGCCAGCGACATATATTCAACAAAAAAAATAAAAAAAAAAAACCAAAAAAACCCAACAAAAAAGAAGTACGAAGCGGGGGAGGAGGTGGGGAAAGGAAGCAATACATTCACATTTTGTATCATTGGGTGTGTTGGTGTGTGTGTGTGTCTTTGTGTGTGTGTGTGAGGGGACAAATGATAAATGAATTTGTGATAAATGAAGCATGTGGCCAAAAGTTGAAAATACTTTTTACACACAGTTTGGGAATCCGTTTTGGTGCAGGGCAAAAGTAGAGGGTGGGGTAAGGTGGAAAATATGGAAAAGATATCATGAGGGGACAGGGAAAGGGGGAGGGGCAGGTGGGGGGTTCTGTGGGCGGTTGGCAGTGGCCAAATGTCTATCGAATTATGAATGGAAAGGCGCTTATTGCCAGTTCAGATATCAGTTAAGTTGAGTTGAGTTCAGTTCAGTTCAGTTTTCGGACAAAGGCCCCCGTTTCATTAACATTGGCTTTTCCCCCCACCCAAACGCCCACTTTTACCTGTTTTGCCCCATTTCAGCCCCCCACTCATTTCTGACCTTTATTTTGTTATGCAAACTTTTCTGGCATTTTCCAACTAATGGACAAGCAGATCTTTAGGTTCTGCAACTGATGGGCATGATTTGCCATTCGATTTGTAAGCAGGGCACTCAAACCAAAAAAAAAAAAAAAACGAGCATAACATTTATGGAAATAAAAATAATGAGGAAAATAGTAATACAAGTAAAATATCAAGCATTTCATTAAGTAAGCATATTTAGGAGATTCAAGACTCCAAAATCGAGCACCAATTATTTGAGGTTTAAAACCCATCAGAAGCAATATGATACAAATTTCTCTGATAAAAGGTAAAATGTATTTTCAAAAGCGTGAATGACAATAGCAAACTAATGGGGGTTTTCCTTCAGTGATATTTTCACTCTAGTTCCAGTTTCTTCTTCGTTTTCTATGAGAAAGTAGCCAAACAAGTGAATCGGAGAAAGGAGGAGAAATGGGAGAAGGAGGAGGAGGAGGAGGAGGAGGAACCCAAGGTGTGGGAGAAATGGGCAAGTGTGAGTGCGGACCAGAAGTGGAGCGATTACTTTTGAATAGTTTAACAGCTGTTCCAAGTGAGTGTGCAATGGGGAAAAAGTGGGAGGATGCAGTAAAATAAATGGTCAAGTAATTGGGAATCGAGATTGGTGCGGGGATTAAGTTGAAAATGAGTGGCTGTTTTTCACAGTGAATTAATGTTTCTCGGGAGCTAGTAAAAAATGCATTCTCACTGCTAGATTCGGAAATAAAACGAAGCGCGAAACACTAAGATTTATTTAACAATAAATCCTGATAATAAATCATGCATTCGCAGATAATGTTATTTGGCACATCAAAATTTAATATTGCTATTTAATTTAATTTTATAATTATATGTGCAATGAAATGGTTAAACCTAAGACAAAATTTCGCATAATTTTATAATAATTTATTGAATAAAAGAAACCTTTAACTTTCTGTCTTACATTGGCAACTAGCTGACTTTATTTCCCCTTTTTTTTTGTTGCACCCACACACAAAAGTCACCTCGTGCCAAAAGTAGTTGTTTTTCCTTGAAAACAAAACTTTTTCCATGGTGATTTTCGAGAAAACTTCCCACTTGATCCGTGGAAGTTGAGTCCACAATCCAATCCAGATCCCAAGACTCCAGCCGAATCCAGAATGTCTAGACGGGGTCTCAAGGTGCCCATTGTTTTGCAGCCGTGTGTTGGTCAGCTTGTGTTGCCATGTAAATCAATGCATTATTTTCCCACGTCGTTTCAACAAAAAAGCCAAAACTCATTTATCAGAGGCGGCATTTCAACAACAAAAGCAGCAAGCAGCCAAGCAGCCAAGCAACAACAACAACAACGAAAATAAAAACAAAATCAGCGGCCCACACACAACAACAGCGAGAACACAAAAACAAAAACAATATCGAGGCAATATCGAACAAGAAATGAGCAGCATCATCATTTATATAGCCCATAACCATTGCCCATATAAGTCCGAACTCAACGATGGTGTGTGTGTGAGTGTGTGTGTAAACAATCGAATGCTGATGATTATATAGTGTGATGCCTATTATCGCATCAAATCGAATTCAATCGAGTAGATCTAGGAGTTAACTTTTTTTTTAAGACGGGTATAATTAAAGGGTTAAGAAGTTGGTAGGTAAAGGGTTTTATGAGGTTTTAAGATTGTTGGATTTACAGTTTTATAAACTAAAAACATCTATAGCTTATATTTTTTATTTGATTAACTACTAACCTCTCTAGAGCATTTCGCATTCGTTTAATCCCCAGTAAATTTTTCTCTATTCCAATTCTTTGATTTCTTTGTTTTTATGGTGGACAACAAACATTTAATTTATGGCCAACATTTAATTGCGAAAATTCAGCTTGTTTGTGTCGGCTTTCTAGGGCGTTATCCAACGCATAAATACGCACACACCCATCTATCTGGTATCACACGTATATGTATATTCCCCCTTATATGTATATGTATATATTTCAAATAATGACCACAAAACTGTCATTAGACACGGCGCATAAACAGTTGGAAACAACAACAATAATAGCGCAGAAGAGAAGCAGGAAGAAAAAAAAAGGAGAAAAAAAACCCAACTACGAAAATTAAAGTGGATGGCAAACAGAGCGCATCGCTGGCATTGAATAATAATATTTCACCGCTTCGCCAACTCCTTGGGATCCAACTGCCATATCGCCCATACACTCCACTAAAGTATAGTACTTCTTCTTCGCCGCTGTTTGTTCATAATTTGTTTGTGTGTGGAGTGTTTGTCGGGCTGTCGGGTTTTTTTTTTTTTTTTTTTGTGGGAGCGGGGTGCGTGCATATTCCATTGATTTAATTGATTCCAACAACAACAACAACAGCCAAAGGAGAGAAAAAAATTCAAATCACGAAAGTGTTGAGAAATCGAGCGAAAGAAGCCAGAAGACTCTCCGAGCCTCCGAACCCTTCCAGCCATATCTCTCTTTCTGCCAACCTACCTACCTTTCTGTTTAAACAGGTTCTGTCAGCGAACTGTGAAGAATTCTTTTTTCCCTGCACCACAAGAAAATTAAGGTGCATTTGTTACTAAGGAATTGCACTTTGTTTTGATAGTTTTATAATGCAAAATTAAAGGAAGAAGAATGGAGTCTGCTTTGTATACCAAAAGTAGCCAACATTTTACTATATAATCTTGTATAGTTATCATACATTTTTAAACTATCTAAAGGTGGCTCCACTTTTCTCTGAGTGTACACAGTTTCTGTTTTTGAACCTGCGTGCCCAAGAGTCAACATTCCTGCCCCTCTTGCCATCCCCCTTCCACTCCTCGCGCCCTATCGCTCCCTCTCGCTCTGTCTTCGTTTAAAGTGGAAACCTGTTTTCTCAATAATAAAAACTAATTTATTTACTAGTTGTAGGTACAAAGAACAACAACAACAACAACAACAACACAGCAAGCGAGTCCCAAAGAAAACGACTGAGAAATATACTCCGAAAAAACCATGGCGACAAAATAAAAGAGCAAAGGAGAAGGAAGAGAAAAGGTTTGGACAGAAGGGGGAAAGAAGAGAAAAAACTGCGTGTGTGGCTAATCAGAATCAAATTGATTTAAATTTGAATGGTTCGACGGGTAAAGTGCGAGTCCACAAAGAGAGCGGAGGGGGAGGAGCAGAAGAGGTGGGGAGAGGAGGGGGACAGGTGAGCGGGGCTTAAGTGGAGAAAAAAAAAAGCGATAAGTTGTTCCCGACTTAAGTGAAGTTTGCTCCGCTCTTCGCTTCTTATCTGTAATTTCTGATTTTGGACCATTTGGAATTTTGATCCCCTTTTTTTCGGGGTATTTCAAAGTCAAGCAAAAAAGTATGTTCAGGCGAAAGGAATGTTTTAAGCGTATTTAAGGAATAATATGCTATGCAACACCATTAAGCAATTTGTGCTAAGAAATATTTTTCTTAAAATTTCTTTTAAATAAAAAGAAATCTTTAAAATATATTTTATTTAAAACAAATCCTTACTTAAGTTTACAAAAGAAAACTACAGATATTTTCCCCGGAAAAACTCCTTTAGCGTCATGCAAATTACGATAAACTCCAAACTATTGGAATTTTCCTCTAACTAGACAAACACCAATAGTCACAGGTGAGCGCTAATTGAAGTAGCAAATATTTGCCGATCGAGTGCGGGAAAAGAGAAGAGCCGAAATGAAAACCCAAAATGCGAGGGGGAAAACTAAAATTCAAACGGAGGAAATTTTCAAAGAGTTTGCAGCTGCAATTGTTGTTGTTTTTATTATTGTTGTTGCTGTTTCTGCTACTCCTTTTGGTTAATGTTGTTGTTTGTTGGGAAATTGCAGGCAGCGAAAAGTATTTAGGGGAAAACTGAAACTGAAGCCGAAGCTGGGCAAAGAACAATACCCGAAATACGAAGAAAGTATCTTAAAGATAGCAAACTGCACGAAAGCCAAACAAAAGCAGCGGAAGTAAATGGGGAGGGGGTGATAAGGGGAAGGGGAGGGGTGGGGAGGGGAGGGGTTAAGGTGGTTTTGGTGCAAAGTATCTTACAAGTCGAAAGCGCAAAGTTTTGCGCTCACTTTTGACACAGTAGACGAGCTAGCTACAAGATACACACGAGCCCAAAAGATACAGATACGGATGAGTCAGAGCAGCAGCGGAGGCTTTTGCTGCTGGACACTGGTTACTTGATACCGAACATTGGGATAGCGAAACACTACTATATGTATATCTACTAGATACTGGAGATTGGATTGTGGATGGTGGAGCTCTCCGGTTGACAACAGGTGGCTTCGCTTACCTGTCTGTTTATGTTTTACGCTCCCCAGTTGTTGTTGTTCTGCCCGCCGCTGTGTTGCCGTTCAATTACTCCGGCCTTTGTTTTTCCACCTGGTCCCAAGATGGACTCGCTGTGTGCCCTGCATCCAACAGATGCGCCAAAGTTGCCAAAGTTATGCTGCAAAAAGATCACAGTGAATGAGTGGTCGAGTGCGGGGGGATGCGGGGGGAAGCTTTGCAAATTCCGAAACATAAACAATAATAGACAAGCAAATTGCTAAACAACATTTGAGTTTTCGTTTCGATGAAATTTTCGCAAAATTATTCATCAAATTTTACAATAAAACGCAACTCACATTTAAACTTAATTGGGAAAACAATTCAAGGGAATGCAATACTAATTTAGTTTGAAATTCGTAAACAATTTTACATTCATTTCAAATAAAAAGTTGATTGACTTAACAAATAATAGGAATAGGTCAAACGAAGCGGACGAATGGAAAAAAAGCCACATCAAATAGACAATCAAAATGGTGTTTATTGAAATAACCCTTCGATTCGTGTAGGCTTCCAAACTATTTTGACGGCCCATCTCGTTCACAAAATGATTCACGCGCCCATGAATATTTATCATATTTTGTTCATTTCATTTAAAAACTTTGGGAAATTAACACTCTTATGTGGACAATCCAGTTCTTCGCCAGCCCAGAATTTTAATTCCATTCAAAACTAACCGCTTTCTGAGTCATGGCAGACGACCGCAAGCTGAGATTTATAGATGACAAGAGGATATCTCTTTTTAAAGCCCTTTCATTGTTAAAATACTGAAACAATGTGGCTCTGTATATTTAGCTTTGTATGTTTTTGGTCACACTGACTCTTCGGCATAACTCTCCAGCGAATGGACGCTAAAATAAAGTTCTTATTGTTTTCAACTTAACTCTGCGTTTATCCTGCCACAACCACTTGGATCACAAATCTTCATCAGGTTATGGGCCCAGATCACGTGAGTGCGGGCAGATAAGATTAGTGTGTGGTTGACCGGCAGGAGTTGAAAAGCACAGGAGTGCAAGAAGTTTCTAGAAGGGCACAGGAGTGCAAGAATTTTCTAGAAAGCACGTGGAGAGAATGAGTTCGTTCTATCAAATAGAAAAGTTGGATACCGGGAATTATGATACCTGGTCGATCCAAATGCGAAGCGTGTTGGTGCATGCGGAGGTATGGAAGGTCGTCAACGAATTGAGACCAGATGAGGAGCCTCGCTGGGATGCGCTTAACGAGAAGGCTTTGGCTATGATCACTTTGAGCGTGAGGCCAACGCAGTTAGGCTACTTGAAGAATTGCACAACAGCAACGGATGCTTGGACAGTGCTGAAGGATGTGCATGAGCCTAGCGGACCTGCTAGAAAGGTGTCGTTGTACAAAAAATTGCTTGGGTTGCGAATGTCAGGTGAGGACAGTATGTGCGAGTACGTTAATAATTTTTGTTCAACTGTAGACAAGCTTTCGGAGGTAGACATCGAGCTAGGGGACGAGCTCGCTGTGATAATCTTGCTCTCCAGTCTACCCAAAGATTATGAGAACTTTGTGATCGCCATGGAAACTCGAGACAAGCTGCCATGTCTGGAGCGGCTGAAGATCAAGTTGCTAGAAGAAGGGGAACGCAGGGCAAGCGAACCAGGATCTTCCGGAAACGAGCAACTGGCATTCCAGGCCAAGGCGGAGCAGAGTGCGGCTGCTGCTTGGCAGAAAAAGAAGGCAAATGTACAGTGCTACAATTGCGGTCAGCGTGGTCATTACAAGAGGGAATGCAAAGTCAAGAGAAAGGAAAAAACGGAAAAGCAGGACATCACTAAGTCTTTCACGGTTCTGGCGGCGGCTGAAGCGAATGACCTGGAACCTTCAAGATGGTGTATGGATTCAGGTGCAACCGCGCATATGTGTTGCGTGAAGAGTATGTTCACAGACTACATTTCTCATGCCGAGGATGTAATTTTGGCAGACAACAGCATCATAAAGGCAGTTGGCCAGGGTAGCGTCAAACTCCAGACAGGATTCTGCGAGCTAAAGCTGGAGAATGTTCTGCATGTGCCAGGGATGAAAGGGAATTTCATTTCAGTCACAAGGGCCATCGAACGAGGATGTACAGTGACGTTCGATCAAGGAAAAGCAACAGTAAGTCAGGATGGCGAAAAGATTTTGGAGGCATTCAAGAGGAATAAGCTCTTTATGTTCGAGGCCGAACGGAATCTTTGCTTCGGAGCCAGGCAAACCGATGCAAGTGTTTGGCATAATAGATATGGCCATTTGAACTACGCGAGTCTGATGAATCTCTCGAAACAAGGAATGGTTTCAGGGTTGGAAAATGTAAATTTCTCAGAAGCGAGTTCATGTTTGACGTGCATGAAATGTAAGATCCATTCACAGCCATTTCCGACGCTTTCGGAAAACAGAGCCAAGTGTCTTTTAGAACTTGTGCACACAGATGTCTGTGGGCCTTTCCAGAAACGTTCTCTGGGTGGCTCTGCATATTTCTTGTTGTTTGTTGATGACATGTCCAGGCGAATGTTTACGTACTTCCTGAAGTCTAAGGATGAAGTTTTCAGTAAATTCGTGGAATTCAAAAATATGGCAGAGCGGCAAACTGGAAAGAGAATAAAGTCCCTCAGAAGCGACAATGGCGGCGAGTTTGTGAACAGGCGTTTTGATGAATATTTGAGAGAACATGGAATCCTACGTCAGCTCACGGTGCCCTATACGCCCCAACAAAATGGTGTGGCAGAACGTGCCAACCGTACTCTTGTCGAGATGGCAAGAAGCATGCTAGTACACGCTGATCTAGGAGAGTTTTTGTGGGCAGAAGCTATCCAAACTGCTTGCTACATAAGGAACAGGTCGCCAACATGCGCTTTGATTGGCAAAACACCTTATGAAGCATGGTACGGGAGGAAACCCAGTGTTTTCGGAATGCGAACATTTGGATCTATAGCGGTCGCTTTGGATAAAACACGGCATAGTAAGTTCCAGGCAAAAGGAAGGGAATATAAACTGGTAGGATACTCGCTCGTGTCAAAGGCATACAGGCTGTATGATAAGGAGGCACGCGAAGTCATCGAAAAACGGGATGTTTTATTCGAAGAGAGTACGACTACAAATTTTCCTTTGTCTTTGTTGGAAACAGACAAAGTGCAGCCAGATCGTTTCGAAAAAGAAGACATTATGAGCGAAGAATTCCAAAGCGCAGAGGAGGCTGAATCCGAGCCGGACATGCCAACAGAGTTGCAGAATGACGATGAGAATCGTGAGGCAGATGGACATCAGATGGAAGGCGTGCAGGTCGGTCCTGGTAGACCAAAGATGGTGCGGACTGGCAAGCCCGGCCGTCCGAGAAAGCAATACAACGTTCTGAACTTTATGGCTACACAAGAGTTCTTGCTTCCTGGTACATATAAAGAAGCGACAATTGGAAAGCAGGCTGCTTACTGGAAAGAATCCATGGAAAAGGAATACACTTCGCTGGTAAAAAATGGTACTTGGATCCTGACAGATTTACCCAAGGGACAGCAAGCGATTGGCTGTAAGTGGGTGTATACCATTAAGAGGGACAGCAGGGGAAACGTGCAGCGCTATAAATCTCGTCTTGTAGCCAAGGGTTGCTCGCAAAGATATGGAGTCAACTATAAGGAAACGTATTCGCCAGTCTGTCGGTACGAGACAATACGTTTGGTCCTGGCTTTGGCTGCTGAGCTGAATCTTCACTTGCACCAAATGGATGTGTGCACGGCCTACTTAAATAGCGAGTTAACCGATGTTGTCTATATGAAACAGCCTGAGGGATACATTGATGCGGTATCACCACGTAAAGTCTTACGGTTGAACAAGGCAATCTATGGCTTAAAGCAAGCAGGAAGGGAGTGGCATGGAAAGTTGAACGAAGCCCTATGCGATATAGGATTTACTCCTTGTCAGAACGAGCCATGTTTGTACAAGATGGATGTAGATGGCCGACTTTGCCTGATACTTATCTACGTTGATGATTTGCTTATTGCTTGCCAGCAAAAAGAGGACATAATTGGCATCAAGACGAAGATTACCATGAAGTTCGAGTGCGTAGATAAAGGACAACTGGAAATGTTTCTAGGGATGCAGATAAAGCGAGAAGGCGAGATCGGAGCTATACAAGTAAACCAGCAGCTCTATATTAAGGACATGCTTGTGAGACACAACATGCTTAATTTTCGACCTGTGGCAACTCCGCTGGACCCTGGTTTTCAAATAGCTTGCTGCAAATCGGATTGCGTGCTGGAAGATCCAGCAGAGTACCAATCAGTCATCGGGGAACTGATGTGGCTGGCCTTAACGTCAAGGCCCGATATATATCATTCAGTTGTGAAACTGGCCCAACGGAACAAGGAACCCCATAGCGAGCATGTTGCAGCAGTCAAGCATCTACTAAGGTATCTAGGAGCTACGATGGACCACAACTTGAACTACCGGCGTTGTGGACAGGCACTACGAGGGTATGCAGATGCGGATTGGGGCGGAGATGTCGGAACACGTCGATCCTACACTGGGTTCGTATTCATGTTAGCAGGTGGACCAATATCTTGGAAATCTGAGAGGCAAGACTGTGTTGCCTTAAGTAGTACAGAATCCGAGTATATGGCATTGACTTCCGCAACGAAGGAGGCACTTCACCTAAGGCGACTGGTGATCGAAATTGGATGCGGTGAGGCGGAATCTGCAATTGTGCTGTACGGAGATAATCTAAGTGCACAAGCTTTGGCAAAAAACCCCGTCTTTCATGCACGCTCAAAACACATCGATATCCGTCATCATTTCATCAGGGAAATCGTACAAAAGGAGAAGTCGAGCTGAAGTATGTGGCAACCGCGGATATGATTGCTGATATCTTCACGAAAAACCTGCAGAAACAAAAGCATTGTCATTTTGTTAAGCTTATGAATTTGTATGAACAAATGTAAACAGACACACATTGAGGAAGGGTGTTAAAATACTGAAACAATGTGGCTCTGTATATTTAGCTTTGTATGTTTTTGGTCACACTGACTCTTCGGCATAACTCTCCAGCGAATGGACGCTAAAATAAAGTTCTTATTGTTTTCAACTTAACTCTGCGTTTATCCTGCCACAACCACTTGGATCACAAATCTTCAT